ATATATATATATATATATTTTATTCTTTATTATTTTTTTATTATTATTACTTTTTTTTTTTTTTTTTTTTTTTTTTTTTTTAAACTTCGACATAAAAACCCAACCGTCGTTGTGCAAAACGCTTCTATAACAGTGGAAGAAACTCATGGCGGCGCCCAGCGGGTGCACAGAGCTCCGACAGCCCCGGCTTTGGGGCAGCCCCGAGGCCTGGGCCGACAACAACGTGACACATCTGTACAGCAGGGACACTTGGAAACAGCAGTTGGAGCCCCAGGCGGCCGCGAGCTCCCCGCCTTCAGGATTTACAGCCGGCGGAGGCTCTCGGTTGGTTAATGGGCCGTACACCCTTCTCCGCTCACAGCGAGTTATTTCTGTAAATACAAGCAATCCCAACAAAAGCTTAGCAGGAAAACGACAAGGAAAGGCATCGATCCCTGCTCCGGTGGCTCCGTGTGGCCACCAGCCCCACGTGAAACCTCACAGCAGGGTGGGAATGGCACCGCACCGCTGCTGGGACACGGCGGGGAGGAGGAGGGTCCTGCAGCCCTGCGCTGCCGGGAGCTGAGAAACGGGGCTGTGGGGATGTGGAGACAGGGTGATGTGGTGCCACAGGGATGTGAGGGCACAGGGATGTGTGGACATGGGGGTATGGGGGCTGCACGGAGCACGCGCTCTGATTTCTTTAAAGGTGCTTGGTATAACTTTAGATATATAATATACATGTAATATTGCTAATAGTCAAGCATAGGAATAAAGGTGCAGACATACCATAAATACTGATGCTCTGATTTTACACTATCAGACCTAGATGAATGCAGTTTCCTATTCACATTATAAAGCAGCCCCAAATTCTATAATTTAAAATAGTGTCGTAAACAAAGAGGAGGAAGGAGTTGGTTATGATCTGATTCTCTCCATCTGTTTTCCTTGGGAAAAAAAAAAAAAGAAAACAAAGAAAAAAACAAAAGAAAAGCAACAAAAAGGATCAAAAAATTCTAAGGCACTCAGGAAAGCCGCATACAATCGATGGACTGCTCTGTTCTCGCGTTACATTCAGTGTTTCAAAGGGGTAACTTGGTTGTGTTTGTCGGAAGAATACAATCATTATCCACATAACATTGTCAAACATATCATTAATCCTCCACACACAGGAAACATTAGTGCAAAATGCTTGCCCTCATCTACCAGATAAGGAGAAACCCAACGCCCTTCACATTTTAGAAGTTTGCCTTCCTAGTAATAAGAAGTAAGAAAACGAACCCAAATCAAAGAAGAAGAAAAAACAACAACAAAAAGGGAAAGAAAAAAAAAAGGAAAAATCAATAAAAGGAAAGAAAGAACCCCAAAAATATACAGGAAGTTGTGCTAGGTATAAAAATATATATTTTCACTGTGCAACTCGACTCTCTTCAGATTCTCTGCCCTAAGCCATTCAAGTACTGCTGCTGCTGTCCCTGGGCTGTCTGGGAGCGCTTTGCTCGGGGCCCTCGAGCCAGCAGGGAGCCACGCAGCCCCATCCAAAGGGGTGAGGAGGAGGAGGCCCCCCAGCGCTCCCCACAGGCGCAGAGCAGGGATGCTCAGCCCCTCCCAGGGCAGCCAGCATTGCAGGGGGCACCTTGGAGGGCAGCGGGGGAACCCTGGGCTGCGGGACCCTCAGCTCCATGGGGAGGTTGGGAGGGGAAGCCCGAATCACAGCTGTGCTGGGGCAGCACCACGCGTCGGGAGGAGCGGGTGATGGTGGTAAAGTGCAAATGGGGCCGGGGCAGTGGCAGTCCTGTGCCCCGTGTCACAGCCACTGCTGCTGGGGTTGGAGCAGGGGCTGCCCCACGTGCTGTCCAGGGTCGGGGGGCAGGGAGGAGCCCGGCATTTCTTGGTCTCAGGGCAAAGAACAGCAGAACGGGCCAAGCGCCGGACAGCTTCGTATCACGGTGCCAAAAAACAGCTTCAAGTATAGAAGAAAACAGAAGGGTCAGCCTCTCGCCCCTCCACTTCCCGAATTTCAACACAGAGACGGAAGGAAACCCTGAGCAAAGCGCTGCCTGGATCCAGGAACTAAAGTAGGAAAGAAAGAAAGAGCTCCAGGAGCCCAAAGCGACCGCTTGTGGTGCACTCATCCAGAGCCCCGGACCCGTTGCAGAACACACCCTAAGTACCCTAACGCAGGCCCTTCCGTCACAGTAAAAATCAAGAATAAAAGCAAAAGCAGCCATCCTCAGCAATGCCAGGGCTGCCCCATGCCCAGCACCGCTGCGCAGCACCGCGCACCTCCATCCATCCCAGCACTGAGCCGACCGCGTCCTGCTGAGCTGAACCCCAGCAGCTCCATCGCCGTGCCCCAGGGACAGCAGCCTGGGATGGGCGGCAGGCAGTTGGGTGTGAGGGCTTCTTCCCAGCAGGACGAGCCAAAGGCCAAAAAGGGGTACAAAGCTCTTTAATAAAAAAAAAAAAGAACAAAAAAGAAAACAGCCTTTGCGCCCCCAATCCATTTTGGACATAGGAGCGGGCGCAGGGGCGAGGAGAACCCAGCGCAGCGGAGCAGCTCAGAGCAGGAGGGGGAGAGGAACCAACCCTGCAGCACCGAGACGGGCAGCGACAGGAACAGCCACGTCCTGCATCCCGCATCACACGTCCTGCATCCTCCTGACCTTCCACCAACAGAAGCACGCAGCAGTTGCCCCCACCCCGTGCAGCCCAGCAGCCCGCGCCCCAGCGCTCCACGACGCACAACTCGCTGCCGAGGACAAGGTGAGCGATGGCTGGACTTCTGAGCTGAGGAATGGATGGGTGGTGATGGGGGGGGGG